AAGCGGCTGCTGCGTTTGTTTGTTTAAAACAACGTCAGACCTTCTTTGTTTCATAGCCGACGGCTCGGCTTCGATCCGACACTCTGGACTCAGTCAGGCTGATGAAACGGCCTCCTGTAGAGACGGATGTTTGATTTGTTTTCCATTTTAATCAAAGCTGCTGTATCTGATGGATGCTAAACCCATGGAAGCGGATGCGGAAGTGTTTGGACAAACAACGACACTGCTAGCCTGCCACTGTTCATTTAATCACCCAAACAGAAACGCAAACAAACATCCGTGCACTTCATTAGCATCCGATGGCTTTATTTAGAAGAGGATGATAAACAGGAAACACAATTATTGTGAATGTTGCTTTTTATTTTTAAAAAAGCAGCTGACGGGCCACCTGTTGATGATTCGTGCATGAATGTCAGAAAATGCAGCTATACCTTTTCCATCGTCTCAGGAATGTCTGGCTGTTATAAAAAACTCAGGAATGAGGAAACGTCGTCATCAGTGACCGCATCCAACACGAACAGCATTCCTCCATCAAACGCTTCCTGTAAACAGCCAAGTGTTTCCTGTGTTGAGACGTATTGCTGCCCTCTGACTGCCAGGTATCTCCCCACATCCCTGAGCGTGAAAAAGCCCCACAATCCCCCACTGGCTGATGAACACAATCCACCGACACACAGGAAACGCCATCTGTTGGGTTCTCATTACAGGCTTTGCTTCGAGCTACTTAAAGCTAATGGGGTGCTAATGTTTAAGCCCTCAATGCCAACTTTACCAAGACTCAGCCGCCGTTATCCGATGTTCGTATTACATTTTAACAGCTAATCAGTCCGCAGCTATAAAATAACACTGGGAACACCTGGACCAAATCCTGGATACTGGCTGTAATTTGACTTCATATATCATGACTGCTTGGAAATTCATTTATTTCCTTTTTGCACATTTCTGACATGTTACAATCTCAACCTAAAGATGCATTGTTGGGTTGTTTAAGAGATCAAAACTGGTTCAGAAAAATAATCTTTACCTAAGACCCATTGCAATTCTCTTAAAGGGAACTTATTACGCAAATTTCCCACTTCGCTCATTTTTGGAGATACGTTTGAGTCTCTACTGCTTCTAAAACCAAACGCTTTAAAACAAACACCTCGCCAGGTTTTTGGCAGTGAAATAATGTTTTTTTGGTGTCTGGAAAATTAGCCATTTAAAAAAAACCTTCTGAATGTTACTTCACAAAACAGCACGCATATTCCCTGTTACCCAGCAACTCCAGTCTGTCCAACTCCAGTGGAGCTCCGGGACATTTGGTCACCTGGTTTTAATGCTGTGTGCACTGTACAATGGCTGCTGGAAATAATTTTGCATCGGTTTTTCACCATTTAACATGCGAGTTGGGGGGATGTGGCAACGTGTTTGGAATTAAAGTGACGGCTCACTCTGAAAGGAGTTCATGGTGATGTACAAACACTGCGACAACAGGATTTGTTTACACTTTTCTCATTCACAGAGCACACCGCTAATAGTCAAATTATCTCATCTGAGCTGCTGCTGGCCACGCCCCCAACTCAGCGTTTACACTTACATACAAAAACGGTTCCAAACAGATGCACAATTATGCAACCATACATCTTCGAAAAGCAGAAGTTGAGCCTTCAGCACAACCAACAATAATGCAGTAAGTTGTTTCTCGATGGTAAGTCACCACAGCAGCCACTGTGCAGTTCACACCGCTGTAAAACCAGCTGACCAAACATGCTGGACTTCAGCTTGGGGTTGTTAGGTAACAGCACAGTGCCAATCAGTTGTGGCTTACCATTCATCAGGTTTTTGAAATGGCTCATTTTCCAGACATTAAAAAAACCTTAACTTGTTGTCAGAAAACAGCTGGGTGCTTTTATGAAGTGCGTAGTTTGCGTTTAGAAGCAGCAGAAACACAAATGGAAGAAGAAAAACTTTCAAAAACTTGAATTTTGAAAGAAAAAAAATTGCTTGCTAAGCTTCAGTTGAGAGAAGAAGAAAAGCAGAATTGAGCTAACTGTTTTTGTACATCCCTGTGTTATTCTGTGTAATAAAATCCATCTTCAGGTTTTTGGTGATTTCATGAAGAGATGTGAGGAGGTTCAGGGGTGTGAAGACTTGTAACATTAACTGTTAATCTGAAACAGCTGGGCAGGCACTTTGCTTTGAGACCATTTGAATGTTGCATGAAATTGAATTTTAAATTAACTACTCCTGACTACCAAATGAGTCTGTAATGGAACTGTAACTCCCTGTATTGCTCATTATGTGCCATTGGAAATAATTACTCTGCGATTCTGTGAGCGATCAGTGAGCACCTCTGAGAAAATGCGGGGAACAGATTCTTTATCTCGGCGCTAAAAAAAGGTCAGGCTAGGATAAGCGTCTGCGGGTCTTTTAGTCACTCTGGAGGTGTGACGGGTTGCTTCACAAGAAGTGAAAGCTTCAAGTGCTGCGTGTAAAAATGGAAGGTGGCGTCGTTGTTGGACCTCAAGTGGGTGGCAGACGCGCTGGCCTCTGCGACCCGGAGGTCCTGCGAAGACAATAGCGGAGCTGTGTGAAGCGGGATCTGCGGAGTGGAGGGTCAGAGGGTCGCTCCGCTCAGACCCACAGCGCCGGAGCGAGCGCTTAGCGACAACACAAGAAAAGAGGCTGAGTGGAGGAGGACCAACACGAGGGGCGGGTTGCTTTTTAGGGCTCCATCCATCATGTGTCACGCAGCCCTTTGGGGACTCGGATCTTTGGACTCACAGTAAATTGACCCCCATGTAAACAGTTCATCACTTAGACATAAATAATTTAGATTAATCAGGCGCTTAAGTGTCTTATTTATTTTCATTCTTCGCCGGGTTTTTAACTTTGTGGTTTGGAGTCTGATTAAGTGATTTTGGACAAAAATCTTTCAGCTTCAGGGTGAAGAATAGAAAGATATGGAAGAGGATTAGAGCCGCTGAAAAAACTAAAAGAATTCTGTCAGAAGTCAGACTTTTTCTCAGAATTATCACTTTACTCACTGGATTTGCATTTTTTCTCAGAATTATGACTTTTCTTGTGAATTTCAATATTTTTCTCAGAATCTTGACATTTTTCTCATACTTCTGAATTTTCATTACTCTCAATTTAATCTCCAATTTCTAATTCTGTCAATCTCTGTCAAAATCCAAAACACCAAACATTATTCTGTCAATCATGTTGTCAGCACATCAATAACCAAATAACAGTTATAAATAATTGTTATAGGATTAATAAACTTTCATTTTATCTACACTGATGGCTTCTCCTAAATTTATTTATAGATTTTGGTTCCATGACTAGATTTGACTGATAGTGCATTAGCATTCTTGTTTTTTTTGTATTACGGCCCTAATTCTCTTCTGTAGGATGATGTCACTATGTGGAGTTTTGTTTCTTTTATATACTCTGCATGCTTATGGTAAACAATACAAAATTTATAATCCTTTCTGAAAAATGGGAGAAACTTTGCCTTCTTTGGCCCAAGGCGATAAGGAAAGTTGGACTTCTCTCAATTCACAGCAACCTTTCCTGTTTATTGTCCGATAAACACAACATAAGAAACAAGCAGGCTTATTTCGCAGGGTGCGGTTTCACGGCGGCTTTTGTTCACGGAAAGAATAAAAACTGTGTCGCGAAATAAAACAAATGACTTCACGGTGCGGCTGAAACAAACACTGCGAGGCGTGGAGTCGGCCCGCCCTCATAGGTTTCTTCCTGCTGTTGCTCCGAGTGTCACCAACTTCAAACAGAGCAAATGATTTAGTGGCGCACCTTGGAGAAAAGACGATGCAGACACAAAAGCTGCACTGCAAAAAAACTTGTCTTACCAAGTGTTTTTTACATTTTCAAATGCAAATATTTGAAATGAGATAAAATTCACATAAGCAACTTAAAGAATTGTTTACTTAAAACAAGCTCCAATTAATGCTGAAAAGTTACTTATGCCAATTTTGTCTTATTTCAAGTGTGTGAAGATATTTGAACTAGAAACCAGACCAAAAAAATGTTTAAGGTTTTGGGTTTTTGAGGTGTGGAAAACAAATCTTGCACCTTCACTGCAAAACCACAAGATTACCAAGTATTTTTTCTCCAGTTTCTAGTGCAAATACCTTAGTACACTTGAAATAAGACAAAACTAACTTAAAGGTAACTTTTCAGCCAGACACAAGAGCTTGTTTAAATCATTAATTCCTTAATATTGATGGAAAAAGTTCTAGTAATAAGTGAAATAATCTGCCAGTGGTATTTGTTTTACCAGTTTGTGTTTTTGCAGTGTGGAAACCTCATCTCACAATTATTTATGTAAAACAAGCTTATATATCTTGCAGAAAGGTTGTAAGTTAGTACATTTGCAATAAGAGAAACTCAAGATATTTGCATTAGAAAATTTACAAAAATACTTGGTGAGATTTTTTTATTTTTATTTTGCATTGTTGAAAACATGTCTTGTACCTTCACTGCAAAAACAAAACCTTACCAAGTATGTTTTGTCTATTTTCTAGTGCAAACATCTTAGTACACATGAAATAAGACAAAACTAACTCAAAACTAACTTTTCAGCAACATACTGAAGCTCGCTTAAATCAATAATCCCTTAATATTGGTGAACAGGTCCTAGTAATAAGTGAAATACCTGCCAGTGGTATTTGTTTAGCCAGTTTATGTTTTTGCAGTGTGGAAACCTCATCTCACACCTCCCTGTCTTCCATCTCCCTCCCATCATGAACTGGTGTTTAGATTTCTGGATCCCGTTTGATTCAAAGACTTTTCAACAAGGGGTTTATCATAAACCTGCATGCGCCGGCCCCTTTCCCCCCGTTTCCTCCGCTACCGCCGCCGCGTGCGTTTGCGTGTTTGCAGGAAAGGGGTGGAGATGGTGGGTGATGGTGGGGCAGGAGGGCTTGTCCGTGACCCACAGAGTCAGTGATACATAAGCCACATGACCGAGTCGGCTCACAAGCACGCCGGCACGCTGACAGACCTGAACCAGTTCCTCTGAACTTGATTCGATCCTCTGACAGAAGAAGAGACGCTCAGATAAAGACGTGCCTTCAGTCTCAGAGAGGGAGCTGTCACACACTGATCTACAAACACACACATTCCTAGAAACTGACACACACACACAGAAGCAAACAGTCTCTCTCTCTCTCTCTCCTTTACTGCTCGCTCAGCTGCTCTCTCCCCCTCCCATCCACACACACACTCTCTCACACACACACACCACTACAGTATATCAGCGAGTGACGAGCGGAGAGCCAGAGGGGAGTGCAGAAATGAATGTGAAGATCCTGACGCTGGTGATTGTGCTCTTGGTGTCTCTGCTGTGTCCTGCCGGTGCTGGTGAGTACGCGAGAGGCCGGCTCCGTCGCTCGTCCTCTCCCTCTTTTTTTGCTTCTGCTCATATTTCTCGCTCTGTTTGTGCAGGCAGCGGTAGTTGATCAGTTACCCAGCATGGTTTGCCTTGTGTGGGCTCTAAAAAGGCAGGGATCTCAGCACCTGGTTGTGTACAGTGCTGCACTGCAGTGGTTGTTCTTCACACTCAACTTGAATGTGGGTTTTGTCGTTTCTCCTCCCTGCTTCACCTGGATGCGTGTTTGCAGTACCTGGAGATGGTTTATCGCTGTGCGGAGCCAGTTTTGGCTGTTATAAAAGATAGGATTTGCATTGCACATGTTCTGCGAGGTGAATCTGGTTTATTTGCAGCTTGATTTGTTTTTACATGCCTCTGGCTGTGCAGCACCTAAAGATGCGTGCATGCCTCCTGTAATTGCTGAACGCATCGATGAGAATGATTAAACATAAACAATTTTCCTCTGGAGTCATCCGTCGGACCCGAAATGTCCGCTATGTGGAAGAAAAACATGAAGTTAGGAGATAGGGGCTGGCTCAGGGAGGGAATGAGTTCGGCGGTGAGTTTGGATCTGCGGATGTGATGCAGGTAGCACTGAGGTGTGAAAAAACAACACTTAGGCCTGTGTAAATGTCTAGACTATATTTGGGATTGTCACCAAACCAAAAGCACACACACAAGCTGTGTTTACGTTGAGGAGCCTTCACAGACCATTCAGGCTGGCATATGGAGCATTTCTTGCATGATTTATCTAGGTGGTGTGTAGACTTTGTGCTTGGAAAATGCTGTCTACTTTGTGCATCGATCCACAGCAATCACAGCTCCCATGCTGCACCGGCAACATGCTATTTTTGTCTGAGGACACGGGGAAATGGGAAGCAATTATCTAGCATCATAGCCAGTGTCGCTTTTCACGCCCTGCGTGTGGCTGAGCGTGCTCCACGCCTGAAAAACCCCACCGTGCCACACCGAACGACGTGAGGGGGGAAAACAAGGCGGCTGCGCCTCGGGCTTTTAATGGAAGCTCGTTCCTCTCGACAGCTGAATCCTTCTGCTTCTGCACCTTTTCTGCTCCCCTCCAGGCTGACTCTGCTGGCAGGAGGAGAAGGAAGAGGGAGAAATGGAGTGAACGGGAGGCAGGGATGCAAGCGTGTTGCGGCGCCGATGGGTGTGGGGAGGGATGCTAGCTCGAGTGTCTCTGCGTAGCACAAGCTTCTGCTACAGTATGCGCCGTCGCTGGAAGGTGTCGGAAGAGACTCTGCATGTAGGCAGTGGGTGTGAAGCCTTTCATCTTAAAGGTGACCTATTATGCTTCCTTGAACAGGTTAGGATGGAGCTATGGGTCTATAAAAAACCTGTTCAGGACATTTTTTGAACAAAATCACTGAAATATTCACATTTTCATCTGCTCAGTTCTGCCTATTTTGAGCTCCAGTTTCAGGGCGTTTGGTCGCTTATAAGCTGCAGGTGGCCACGCCCCCAAACTCAGCGTTTAAATTTACATGTGAAAATGGCTGCAAACAGATGCACAATCATGCAACCATATATCTTTGAAAAGCAAAAGTAGAGCCACCTGCACAACCAAGAATGCAGCAAGTAGTTTCTGAATTAGCCTGGCCTTTGCCCTCCTGTGCCGCTTCACTTGATTCTCTCACGTCAAAGTTCAGTCTGCGCTTTCTCCCACTGAAGAGGATTTCTCTGCCCAGGTTGAAATTCAGCCAATCGGTGCACAGGAAGAGAAGCTGTGAAGACGTTGATCTTCTCCTCTGTTCTGAATTGTAATCTGCCAGCAGTTTTATCAAAGGCACAGAGGAAGTGAAAGAAGCCAATCAGTCCATGTTGGCCACACACTCTTCTCAAACTCTGAATCAACATTAACGGCCATCTTGTTTGGATCGGCAGTGGAAGACGGTTGTTTACAGCGCAGGAAGTTACCGGGAAGGCTTCGTAGAGTCAAACTGGTGCATTACACACGTCGCTGCCAAATGTTAGCGGTTGGGTACAAATGAACAGATCAACAGAGTGCAGACCCTCTGGACAAAGCAGAACTAGTGGCTGGTTGTTACCAGGACATTTCTATAATGTGCGCTGTACAGTGGGGCTTAACCTGGGTTGTTAGGTAACGGTTGAGCGTTTCTGGAGTTGCCAGATGACGGGCAGCGCCTGCTGATTTAAGACGTTACATGCGGGAGGTTTTTGAAACAACCCATTTTCCAGACACCAGAAAACATGAACTTAATGCCAATGACCGGCTACGTGATTTTCTCTAAGTGTTCTTAGAGAAGCAGAGACTCAAATGGAAGCATAAAATGTGCAAAATATGAGATTTGCATAACAAGTCCGTCCCCTTAAAGGAAATTGGTTTTTACGTTTAGAGCGTTTCCTCTCTCCTCCAGGCATCTGTGGCTCAAAGAAACAACAGATTGGTTAAAAGAAAGGAAAATGTGCCGGATGCAGCGAATACAGAACCGGATCTCTGTGACCCGGGGTGCGGAAGTGTCCGAGTGTAATTATATTTATGATGCAGATGCATATCAACAAAAACTGTAATGCAACAGGCAATTTATTCAACAACCTAAAGCTGTTTATAATATCCATTGAGCATCCTAAATGAGCTTCTGAGGCCTTCTCTGTGGATTATTAGCATCTTTTAGCAGCACACCTCAATTACCCATCCTTGAAAAGCACTCTGGTTGAAAAGTGGCCTCCAGCTGTAGACATGTGGTATCCATAATTCATCCTGAGGCCGAACACTCTCCCTCCCTCTGTGAAAGTCTCGGGGCTGGCATGTAAACAGTCCCTATTCACAAAACACGTCTGCCACAGCCTCTTACAAGAAATCAAAGCTTCGCTTTTCTCTGCTGCGGAAACATCCTGTCAGTTTTTACCAGGAGACTTCACGAGAAAAAAACCCAGCAGCAGCAGCAGCAGCAGCAGCAGCAGCAGCAGCAGCTGGCTCAGACATGCATGCATGTACACAGGTGCAGTTCAGCAGTGGAGCAGGTGATCCGCCGCCCAGATCACAACGATTATCAGAGGGAGAAATCGTCTGCTCAGGAAGAGGGCATCTTTATGAGAGTTGTCAGCAGAGCTATTATTCTGCATTAGACTTTGATGTATTGTCTGGGCTCGCAGGCTCTGTAGCGCCGGCATATGTCCATACAGGACAGGCCTGCTCTGACGCTCAGAGACGCATTAAGTAGTAAATCTGACGGCTTAATCAGACACAGCTTAAGGTGTCAAGGGTTTTAATGTTACAGTGTCAATAATATTCAAATTTTTACAATCGTACACTGCAAAAACAAAAAACTACACAAACTACTCTTACCAAGTAGTTTTGGTTTAGAGTCGAGTGCAAATATCTTAGTAATAAGACAAAACTAACTTACATTAATTCAGTTTTCAGCAACATATTCAGTTCTGGACAACATTAAGAGCCCACTGCACTGAACCACTGAAAACCTCCCGGTTACTCCACCAAATCCTGAAACCTTCCTGAGTTAAAACATTATTATCGTTGTTTCTAAAGGAATATGAACTTTGCTTTATTCGAGGTCTGAAAGTGCTGCATCTTCTTTGATGTTTTCTGTAAAACAATACAAAATTTTTGTTTTGAATTTCGGAGACATTCAGTATTTCATAGAATAAAAGAACAATGTTCATTTCACTCAAACATTTACCTTTAAAGAGTAAAATCTGAGAAACTAGCATTTCTTAATTTTTTCCAGAGCTTGTTTTATGCAAATAATTTTTTAATATTCATTAAAAAAAGAGTTCTTGCTCTTCTGTCTATAAAAAGACATTTTCCCAATGTTATAAGTGAACTAATCTGCCCGTGGAGTTGGTACTTTCTCATGAATACTCATTAATTATTGGTATAATGCAAAATTCTACATATTGCTGAAAAGAAAACACAAAAACAAACTGTTTAGGTCATTTAAATCTATATTAAGATTAACTTTATGAAACCCAACAGGTAATTTGTCTGAAGCTTCAGTTTACCTTCCAGAAACCAAAAAAAAACACAAACAACGATTGATGGAAGAAACTATTTCTGCATAAAAGGACAAGAATCAACAAAAACAGCATAAATATATCAGCATGTGAAATTAAAAACAAACAACTTTAGTATTTATGGTTGGCATCATCCATTAAAAGCTACTTAGTAGGTAAAAGGAGGATGTACGGCTATTTTCTTGAGATTTTGTTACTATGAATACATTAAATCTTATCACCCTAATGCTCTGTTTGCTACATTAGCTTCAAAATTACTGTTTTCAATTTTAAAAAATCCTTTTATAAATGCTTTTTAGTTTTAAATTGTTGTGTTAAAACCATGAAATTGTAAAATCTTGGTATTTTTACACAGAGTTCGCCTAATGGCCCATGACTAATAATATTCTTTCTGCACCAGAATCAGATGTAAGCAGGACGCTTTGACTCGAATCAGCTTTGTGTAACGTAAAGAAGATGTTTGAGGCTGTGGATGCGATTACGAACAGCGTGTTTAAAAGTGAAGCGGCTAAACTCTTCCAGATGTCCAGCGGATAATAACTCCGTCACAGCAGGGAAGCCGTCGGGTCAAAGAGGTTATTACAAGATTACAGTAAAATCAAAGCGACAGGTTTTTGTTTTTTAGACACAGGAGCCTTGAGAGGAGCAGCTGGGTTTATATTACTCACTACGCAACACACCCACAGCGTCAGATGGAGTCTGCTGCATGAAGACCCTGGATTTCCACCTCATGCTGCATCACAGCGAAACAGAGCCAATAATCCGACGATTCGAACTCTGATACAGGTTCTGCATGTCAGCAGAGAATCGTTTCCTTCAAATTCAGTTTAAAAACGCTACAAAGCAGGAGGATTTGAGTTCAGTGCAGCCTGTGAAACTCATCAACATCATGGATGTATCAATAAAATCCACTAACATATTGATTAATTGCTCTCAAATTGCTTCTTTAAATTACATATTTAACATCTTTTCATCA